ACACAGAACACACACATATATTATGTAAACAAAAACTTATTTTAGACGCGATTAATCACGATTAATCGTTTGACAGCACTAATATATATATACATAATATTTGCATATCTAGTAGTCAACATTTGAAGTGGATCAAAACCTTTCATCAAAGTTGTCCTAAAACCAAAACAATACTCGTTCTTGTCTTAGGAAAACTTTAATGAAACTTTTTGATCCACTTCAAATGTTGACTACTATAGTCGACTAGTCATGTTGACTACTGTATTATATGAGTAGTAATAATTATTAATACTACTGTATATATATGCTCAATTAAGAGTACTGTAATGGATTGTGAGCTGGTGTAATTGTCAGATAGCGATTGGTTGGTTTGTTGAATAACTGATGGATTAATTGATTGGTTAAGCCACATTTGTCCCGTTGAAGGCATGGACAATCAGACGGTGCTCAGTGTCCAGTCACTGTTGGACGCTCAGGGTGGTGTTTTGGATCCAGGAACACAGAATGTCTCAGGAACAACCATCCAGCCAATGGGTGAGACTTATTCACGCATTTATATGATTAAATATTCCAGTTTAACATAACACATAATGGCCTGGTTGCACAGACAGGGCTTAGACTAAGCCAAGGACTAGGCAATACATTTAAGTAATTTTTATTAACGTGCCTTAGAAAAATCATTACTGGTGTGCATTTTGAGACAAAAGAGAGGCACTGATATATTTTAGGTTCAGTCAGTGCAAGTTTCTTTCAGTTAAAACAGCTCAGACTTACACTTTAGTCTGGGACTAGGCTTAAGCCTTGTCTGTGAAACCGGGGGGATATGTCTGTTAAAAGTAAAGTGCATTTATTAATATTAGTATTATTTATATGCTATTATAATATTGGTTCATATTTTGAATTAACTTTTATTTTACATTTTCACTTTTCATTTTAATTTCGGTTTAAGTTTGAATGATTTTGTCATGCGCTTTTGTCATGTTTATTCGTTTTTGGTTTTTAATATTTATATTTAATTTACTTTTATTTCAGTTTTAGCCATTTTAGTATTTCAGCTTTAATTTATTTTAAGTTAGTTGTGAAGGCAACAATTCTAATTCTAAGCTTTCCATCCAATATTTATATTTTATTTTATTTCAGCTTTATTTCAATGACCTAAAATGATTATTAATAGTTTTATTTTTTGTTAACAAGTATTTTTATATTTTCAGTTTTCATTTTGGTTTAAGTCTTAGTAATTTTGTTATGTGCTTTTGCCATTTTATTAGTGTGCGTTTTTCTTGCTGTAATTTATTTTTGTTTTAGTTTAAGTAATTTTAGCACTTCAGCTTATTTCAGTTATTTCAAATGTTCATATTTTAAAAGCTTTTCATGTAATATTTATATAAAGATAACAACACTGAATTGTATATATATAGTAATTAAAAATAATTTTTTTTATATTTTCAGCTTTGATTTTATTTTTTATTTGGTATGGGATTTTGACATTTTTAATAGTTTTTATAACTATTAAATTGTTTTTCTATTTTTGTTTTAGTAAGTTTACCACAAGTATTATAAGTTTAAGTTTTTCATCTAATATCTATTTTATTTCAGCTTTATTTCATTTACCTAAAATTATTTTTTTATTTTACCTTTATTTCATTTACCTATAATTTCATTTTCAATTACCTAAAATGATTAATAAAAGTTGTACTTAACAATAACAACACTGATTTGTATTTACCTAGTAATGATGCATTTGTAAATGCTTCTTCATTCAATTATTTGTTTTAACACTTTCACGTCACATTATATCCGCAGACGATGACGATGTCTTTCTGTGTGGGAAATGTAAGAAGCAGTTCAACTCTTTGCCGGCGTTCATGAGTCACAAGCGTGAACAGTGTCAGTCCAACACGCCGTCACTGGCCACCGTCTCTCTGGCCTCCAACAACCCCTACACCTCCGTCCCGTGCATCAGCGCCGCTAACAGACAGGTACAGCTCACCTGCTGGAAAACACCACGAGACGCCATATTACTGATATATGTGACCCTGGAGCACAAAAGCAGTCTTAAGTCGCTGGGGTATATTTGTAGCAATAGCCAAAAATACATTGTTTGGGTCAAAATTATTGATTTTTCTTTTATGCCAAAAATCATTAGGATATTAAGTAAAGATCATGTTCCATGAAGATATTTTGCAAATTTCCTACCGTAAATATATCAAAACTTAATTTTTGATTAGTAATATGCATTGCTAAAGAACTTCATTTGAACAACTTTAAAGATGATTTTCTCAATATTTAGATTTTTTTTGCACCCTCAGATTCCAGATTTTCACATAGTTGTATCTCGGCCAAATATTGTCCTATCCTAACAAACCATACATCAATGAAAGCTTATTGATTCAGATTTCAGATGATGTATACATCTCAATCTCAAAAAATTTACCCTTATGACTGGTTTTGTGGTCCAGGGTCACATATTTATATTGTTTTTATGTTTATATAATCCTCAAGGTATCAACGTACATCACCGTGCCGCAGTCGCCGCTCACACACACGCTGGTCCAGGGGAACGTGTTGGTCAGCGATGAGGTTCTGATGTCGGCCATATCAGCGTTCAGTTCTCTGGATCAGCCGATGGCAGCCATGCAGGTAAACACTGAATAATACTTAAACTAATAGTTCAGCCAAAACTGAAAATTTGCTGAAAATGTGCTCACACTCAGGCCATCTAAGATTAGGATGAGTTTGTTTCTTCATCAGATTTGGAGAAATGTAGCATTGCATCACTTGCTCAGCAATGGATGTGAATGGGTGCCGTCAGAATGAGAGTCCAAACAGCTGATAAAAACATCACAATAATCCACAAGTAATCCACACCACTCCAGTCCATCAGTTAACGTCTTGTGAAGAGGAAAGATGTGTGTTTGTAAGAAGCAAATCCATCATTAAAGCATGTTAGCTTCAAACCATTGCTTCTGGCTAAAATACGAGTTCATTCACCTCCAGTGAAAAAGTCCATCTCCTGTTGTCTCTCACATCAAAATCCAGCCACATATTTGTTTAGAGCTGTTTTTGCTTGTAGTGTTTGATCTGTGCAGATTTCTCTCCTGATTCAGACCAGACCACTTTTTCACTGGAGGAAGCGTTATTAAAGACTTGTATTTTAGCTGAGAGTAACAGTTTAAAGTTAAAATGCTTTAATGATGGATTTGTTTCTTACAAACACGCAGCTTTTGTCTTCTCGAGATGTTAACTGATGTACTGGAGTGGTGTGAGTTACTTGTGATGTTTTTATCAGCTGTTTGGACACTTCATTCTGACGGCACCCATTCACATCCATTGGAGAGAAAGTGATGGAATGCTACATTTCTCCAAATCTGATGAAGAATCAAACTCATCTACATCTTGGATGGCTGGAGGGTGAGGACATTTCCAGCAAATTTTCAGTTTTGGCTGAACTGTTCTTTTAAGGATTAGAAATAAATTGGTCATTTCTGACACTGCTTGTGTTTTTCAGAGTAATCTCAGCATGCATGCGGCAACCTCATACCTCCAGCACCATCAGCAACCTCTACAGCCCCTCCCTCCGACACAGGCCACGCCCCTGTCCTCACAGGTGCCCTCCAGCAACAGTAATTCAGTGGTGCAGGTGTACAGCACACTGCCCCCTATGGCCGGAGCCGGTATTGCAGAAGTGCCTACACTGGGGCTTCAGTCGTTTCAGTCCATTCAGGTACAGCACTGTTCATTAATTTACACGATCACGTGTAATGCTCATATTTTACCAGTATTAAACTCTCAAATACACTTAATATTTAACTACATGGTACATATTTGACAGAGATGGTAAATACTAACATCTAAACACAATGTATTGGACTTTCATGTTACAATAGAAAATTATACTATTATAGTAAGTAATGAATTTGCTTTTTTTTCATATTTTCAGTATTTTAAGGTTTAATATTGTTTCAGTAGGCAAAGTTATTTTAGTATTATTTATGTACTATAATTGTATTTATTAATATTTTTAATTAGTTTGTTTTTCAGTTCCCTGTTTTTCAGTGTAGTAATTTTGTTGTGTGTGTTTCTTAGTACGCAATGTTATTTTAGTATTATTTATATACTATTGGAATATTTATTTATAATTTGAATTAGCTTTTATATTTATATTTTCAGTTGTCATTTTAATTTTGCTTTAAGTTTTAGTCATTTTATGTGCTTTTGTTATTTTTATTAGTTTTAGTTTTTAATATATATATTTTTATTTAGCTTGAATTTATTTTATTTCAATTTTACTAATTTTAGTACTTCAACTTACACTTTTTTTATTACGGTTTGTTGCCAAGAAAACATTTCTAGTTTTCATTCAAGTGTTTTTAATTTTACGTTTTTCATGTAATACTTATATTTGATTTTATTTGAGCTCTGTTTTAATTAATAAAAAACTATTGTAATCGTTTCAGATTTAGTTAACAATAACCTCACTGTTAGTAGTTGTTGCTTTTATTTGTATTAAGCTTTAATTTATTTTTATTACAGTTTTAGTTTTGGTAATTTAATGCTTGAACATTTATTGCAACATTTGTAATTTTCGTTTAGATTTTTAAGGTTTTTCGATCTAATATTTATATTTTATTTTATTCCAGCTTTATTTCAGTTACCAAAAACTATTTTTTAGTTTTGTTTTTTTTTTAGTTATAACACGGGTGGTAATAACACTGGCTGGAAATAAATGCATGTAAGTTTCCCACTAAAGGACTTTTTAAAAAGTGCCATTTATTATAAATAATATTTAATTATTATTAATTCAAGGCCTTTTCTGATTAAATAAATATGCATGTGTATTCTATAATTACTGATGCAGGTTTGGTTGTTTAATGAACATTTAATCACCTGATGTGTCCATGTTTGGCAGGTTCCCAGCCAGTGTGTGGAGGGCCAGGTGTTCAGCGCCGCTCATTTTTTTTTTTTAAGAAATTAGTATTTTTACTCAGCAAGGATGCATTAAATTGGTCAAATGTAGCAGCACAATTGTTTTCAAATGTTTCTTGAGCAGCAAATCAGCATATTATAATGATTTCTGAAGATCATGTGACACTGAAGACTGGAGTAATGATGCTGGAAATTCAGCTTTGATCACAGGAATAAATTATATTTTAACATATTACAATAGAAAACGTGTAAAAACGAAGTTTTTACATTAAATTATTTTAAATTATAAAAATATTTCACAGTTTTTACTGTATTTTTTGTCAAATAAATGCAGCCTTGCTGAGCAGAAGAGACTTCTTTCAGAAACATTAAAAAAATCTTGACTCTTTTAAACAGTATTGCATATATAGTGACTTAAAATGACAAGAATAGCCAGTGAAGGAAATGTAATCTTTATCCAGTTATGTTTTGCTTAGAAGTTAAAAAACTCTTATTTTATTCCAGCAGGGCAAACTAAAGGAAAAGCCCAGAAGCTCAAGTGCAATTACTGTGAAAAAGTGTTTACCAAGAACTTTGACCTCCAGCAGCATATTAGAAGGTAAAAGAGATGATTTATATATGAGATTTTTTTGTTCGGGAGTTCTTAAAATTTAAACAAATTGTTTTGATGCAAAAAAAAAATATGTGAAACCCCATGCACAAACATGTACAAGAACATAAACATGGCATCTAAAACTTTGTCCAACATTTAAATATACAGTCACACGGGTGAAAAGCCCTTTCAGTGTATCGTGTGCGGCCGTGCCTTCGCTCAGAAGTCCAACGTGAAGAAACACATGCAGACGCACAAGGTCTGGCCCGCTGGAGTTCACAGCACCGCCTCCAGGATGCCCATCACTGTACGCGTGCTTCCTCTTAATAGTGACGAAAACTCACAACAGACGGAGGAAGACGGACAAGAGCAAGGTGAGACAGCATGAGTTAAAGGAACAGTTCACCCAAAAATAAAATTTGCTGAACATTTACTGACCCTCAGGCCATCCAAGGTGTGTTTGTTTCTTCATCAGATGTGGAGAAATGTAGCATTCCATCACTTGTTCACCAATGGATCCTCTGCAGTGAATGGGTGCCGTCAGAATGAGAGTCCAAACAGCTGATAAAAACATCACATGCACAGATCAAACACGGTTTACAGTCCAAAACAGCTCTAAACAAATATGTGGGTGGATTTTGATGTGAGAGACAACAGGAGATGGGCTTTTTCACCAGAGGAAGAGTTATGGATTATTGATTATTAATATTGATTATTATGGATTATATTTTAGCCAGAAGCAACGATTTAAAGTTAAAACGCTTTAATGATGGATTTATTTCTTACAAACACGCAGCTTTTCTCTTCACAAGATGTTAACTGATGGACTGGAGTGGTGTGGATTACTTGTGGATTATTGTGATGTTTTTATCAGCTGTTTGGACTCTCATTCTGACGGCACCCATTCACTGCAGAGGATCCATTGCTGAGACAGTGACGGAAAGATGAATTTCTCCAAATCTCTTCCCGTGATGAAACAAACTCATCTATATTTTTTATAGCCTGAAAGTACGATTATTTTCAGCAAATTTTAATTTTTGTGTGAAATATTCCTTTAATCCTGGTGATTTTTCAGTAGATTATATCTAATATACCAACCTAAAGATCATTTGTCTGACCTCATCTCCAGCCATTGAGGAGCAGGACGCTGAGGTCCAGGAGATACAGGGTTCAGCGGAGGGGAAACAGAGCAGCGGGACGAACCAGAACAAGCAGATCATCCTCATCGACAGCTCGTATCAGTGCCAGTTCTGCTCGGTCAAATTCAGCACCTACTTCCAGCTGAAGTCTCACATGACACAGCACAAGAACGAACAGGTACCGCACACAGACACAAACATTTGCAGAGTCAAAATTATTTAACTATATAATTAAATAAATAATTATATAAAGCAAAATAGCATAAGATATTAAAATAGTTTTAAGAGAATATGTCTAGAATTCATTTTTTTCTAACCTCATTATAGCAAAGATGTTTTTATTGTTTTCTGCATAAATCTAATGAGATTTATGCTTAAAAGAGAAAAACAAACAACTATGGATATATTATCTGAAAACAAGTTATTTTTTGGCAGTTTTGCTTCTCAGGTAAATTTATCTTGTCCTATTAAATAATATACACTATTGTTTAAAAGTTTGGGTTTAGTAAGATTTGTTGTTTTTTTGAAAGAAATTAATATTTTTATTCAGAAAGGACGCATTAAAGTGATCAAAAGTGACAGTAAAGTGACATTTATAATGTTACAAAAGATTTCTATTTCAAATAAATGCTGTTCTTTTGAACTTTCTATTCATCAAAAACTCATGAAAAATAACATTAAAAAAATGTCAGCATGTTAACTTTTGATTTTAATAATGTATTATTAAATGTTGAAATTAACATCAACTAAGATTATTACATAAGATTATTACATTTAGAAGTATTTGTCATTGTTAGTTCATGTTAACACATAGAACCTTATTGTTTACTGTTTATATTGTTACCAATATTTTTACTGAAAAACGAGACAAGAATGCTTGCTAAAAATATAAAATAGCATCTTTTGTTTTAGATTTACACAACCTCAAACATTAGATAAAAATGAAGTGTAGTTGGCCATTTAACATCCTCTCTCAGTGCGCAATGGTCATTCGTGACTAACCCTGGGAAGTTGCTGTCAGGTGTACCGCTGTGTGGTGAAGAGCTGCTCTCAGACGTTTCAGAAGCTGGATCAATTTCTGGAGCACATCCACACACACCAGGAGCAGCTGACGTACCGCTGTCACCAGTGCAGTAAAGTCTTCCCGTCGCTCTTCGAGCTCGGCCTTCACCAGTACTCACACAGCTTCTGTCCACAGCAGAACCAGTGCAAAGAGACCAGCTACTACAGGTCACACACAAACATACACATACACATACACACACACACACACACACACACACACACACACACACACACACACACACCCACACAAACAACCACTGACCAGCTACTACAGGTCACACACACAACCACTGACAAACTACTACAGGTCACACACACAATCACTGGCATATTACAGGTCAGACACACACAAAACCACTGATAAACTACTACAGGTCACTCACACACACGACCACTGACAAACTACTACAGGTCTCACACACAACCACTGACCAAGTACTACAGGTCACACACACACACAGACACAACCACTGACAAACTACTACAGGTCACACACACACACACAACCAGTGACACACTACTACAGGTCACAGTGATGAGACTAAGAGGTTGAACTCTGCTCAGATCTGAATGTGTCGTTGTTGTTGTTTTTGTGTTCAGATGTATGAAGTGTCAGAGTAAATATTCCACACAGGAAGCTCTGGAACAACATCTGCTGAACGCCACACACAACTACCCCTGTCCTCACTGCCAGAAGGTCAGGTTTATTTCAGTATTATTTATATTATATTATAGTATTTATTAATATTTTGAATGATCTTTTATTTTTATATTTTAATTTAATTGTCAAGGCAATATTTTTTTTTTTCATTTCAGTCTTTTTAGTTTAATGTTTGCATCTAATATTCACATTATATTTATTTTATTTCAGCTTTATTTCAGTTAATGAAAATGATTTAATAGTTTTAGTTTTAGTATTCATTTAGTAAATATTAGTATTTTGAATTAGCTTTTGTTTTAGTTTTTCGTTTTAATTGAACTTTTAGTAATTTTATGTGCTTTTGTCATTTGTATTAGTATTGTAATTTAGTTCTAGTTTATGAATTTAAGTTCCTCAGCTTAAATTTATTTATTAAGTTTTTCATCAAATAATTATTTTATTATATATATTTTTATAATATTATTATTAATAGTTTTAGTTAATAATGGCATAGCACACTGCAGACAGCAACACAGGAGTCAGTTCCTGAATGTTTCTGTTTGAAGAACCATTTTGAAGAATCAAGAATCAAATGAAACAGTCGTCAGCAGTGAATGTGTTTGTATCTGTCAGGTGTTTCCATGTGAGCGGTATTTCCGCAGGCATCTCTCCACTCACGGTGTCGGCGGCAAATTCAAATGTCAGATCTGTAAAAAATTCTTCAAAACCGAGCACTACCTCAAACTACACACAAAGATCCACTCAGGTACTGCGCTTGATGTCCTCTACTCCTAAACACAGTTTTAGTGTTATTAATCGCATCCAAAATAAAAGTTTCTGTTTATATAATATATATGTGTGTATATTTAGTATGTATATAAAAAGACACACACATACAGTATATATTTTGAAAATATTTACGTGTATATATTTATATTCATATAATTTATATTATAAATAAATAAATATATTTCATATATAAACATAACATATTTTTCTTAAATATATACATGCATGTGTGTGTGTATTATATATACATAATAAATATACACAGTACACACACATATATTATGTACACAAAAACTTTTATTTTGGATGCGATTAATCACGATTAATCGTTGCCCACCACTAGTTTTTTTGTTTTTGTTTTTTCAAAAAAAACAATAAGTGAATGAATTAATATGCTTTGAGTGATAAATGGAATTTCTTTCGTGTCTGATATATTACTGTGACGTAAAGTGAGATTTTGTTGTTTTGCAGGAGAGAAGCCGTATAAATGCTCCGTCTGTGAGGCCACGTTCAACAGGAAGGACAAAGTAAAGAGACACATGCTGATCCACGAACCCTTCAAGAAGTACAAGTGTCCCTTCAGGTGAGTGAGGCGTGAGATGGGCAGAGAAGCATCAGTGTGATGTGAATGTGTTTGATGATTTCTGTGGTTTTCTGTGGCAGGACTCATGTGGGCTGCACCAAAGAGTTCAACAGACCCGACAAACTCAAAGCCCATATTCTCTCGCATTCAGGTGAGGATGATGATGAAGTCTGGTGAAGACCTCAACTTTAGTACTTCAGTTTTCCATCTGATGTGGATATTTAATTTCAGCTTCATTTCAATTAACAAGACTGATTTTAATAGTTTGTTTTAGTATTAATAATTTTAATATTATTCATTTACTATTAGTATACTATATTATAGTTTTAGTTTAATCATTTTAGTTTACGTTTTAGTAATTTTGTTATGTGCTTTTGCCATTTTTGTTAGTGTTTGTTTTTCATTTCTAATTAGCTTTATTTAGTTTCATAAAATTTTGGTTCTAGTTTTAGTAATGTTAGTTCGTCAGCTTAAAATTATTTTCTAATTATCATTACAAATTCTCAAGTGTCAAGTTTTTTGTTAATTTTTTCATGCAATATTTTTATTCTATTTTAACTTTATTTTATATTTATTTTAACATTAATAGATTTAGCTTTAGCTAACAGTATATTGTAGTATAGTGTACTAATTTATATACTAATATTCATGTTTTATTTAATTTCAGCTTTATTTCAATTAACTACAATAGTTTTTAATAGTTTTAGTCAATGTTATTTTAGAATTATTGAGACACTAATGTTTTAAGACTGAATTAGTTTTTATTTTTTCCATTTTGGTTTTAAATTTAATCATTTTGTTGTGTTTTTTAACATTTCTATTAGTCTTTTTTAATAATTCTATATTTTATTAAGTTTTATTTCAGCTTTCGTTAATTAAATAAAAATTTAAAATTTAGAAAAGTTCACAAGCATATCGGCCTATAATATATATAAATATATATCTGCATATTGTGTATGAGTTTTAATAAAAATTATACATACACACACACACACACACACACATATTATATGTGTGTGTGTGTGTGTGTGTATATATTCAAAATTATTATTCTATTCTTTTATAAGAGATAAATAAATAAGATTCTAAATAAGAGCATTTACTTTAAAAAATACTTACATTTATAATCAGGAAACAACAAACCTTAATAGCTTAGTAATAGTTTTGCTTGTCAGATGAATTAATCTTGTTTTTATGGACATTTTAATACTGTTACTACAAAACAAGACCAAAATACTCTTAGAAATTTTTTTTTTTTCCTGTGGTGTAATGTGGAACTATATAATAACGTGTAAAGCAGATGTAAGTAGAGTCTCTTTGTCTCTCCTGCAGGTATAAAGCCGTATAAGTGTCAGTTCTGTCAGAAGTCGTTCAGTCGTCGCGCTCACATGCTGGAGCATCAGCGCTCGCACACCGACAACTACCGCTTCCGCTGCGCCGCCTGCAACAAGGGCTTCACCCGCCAGAAATACTACAGCGATCACAAGTGTCCGCTGGCGGGGGCCGCGCAGGGTGCAGACGGGACGCCGGGACGGGACAACAGCGGCCAGGGTGAAAACACACACAGGTTCAAGGGATAGATCGCCCAAAAATGAAAATCAGCTGTCAGTTTACTGACCCTCAGGCCATCCAAGATGACATTTTTTTCTTCAGCAGAACAGTAAAGAAGATTTTTATCTGAAACCATGGTCCTTGGTGAATTAAATGCAAGTCAGTGGCTGCCAGCTCTTTGAGAGTCAAAAAAGCACATACAGGCAACACGAAATTAACCCCCGTGGCTCCTGACGATACGTTGAGGTCTTACGAAGCAAAATGATCAGTCTGTTCAAAAAATTTAACATAATTTACAACGTTATTACTTGTAATCCAGAGCCTCAGACTCTGATTATTTTCTGTGAACTGATTCTTTCAGACAGTTTGTTTCAAAGAACTGGTTCAGTTCACTAGTTTGTTTACTTAATCACGCAATGATGTCAAATATACACAATTATATTATTAAAGCACCAAATAATGATATGAAACATAAATGTTTTACATGTCTAAAGCATATAAAGTGAATAAACTAGTCTTCATCAGCTCACCTTTTTATATAAACCATGAGAAACCATAAAAACGTTCATTTAGTGTTCGGTTCACACATATCAGTGGCTCAGTCTTGGGTTCGAGTCGAACTGTTTCCTCAGTTCAGTGACTGTTGGAGGAACTGGAGCACTGAATCAGTTCATTCATCATAGGATCAGATGTGCTGGTATTTCGGCTCATTTGGAGTCAGGGTGACTGTCAGATGTCCGAAAGTGAGTTTAGATTGAATGAGTTGTAGATCTGTGCTGCTGGAGCTGTGAACTGTTTTAGACGCTTCAGTCCGATGTGGTGAACTGATTCAACTAGTTCACCAAAAAGAACCAGTTCAAAAGAATGATTCACTCCAGACCGTTTGCCTGAGGCTCTGGATTACAGGTAATAATGTTGTAAATAATGTTGGGTTTCTTGCACAGACCAAACGTTTCGCTTCATAAGAACTCAATATCAGTGTTGGGGAAAGTTACTTTTAAAAGTAATGCATTAGAATATTGCGTTACTCCCTAAAAAAGTAACTAATTGCGTTACCAAATTTCTATTTTTGGCAAATGTAAAGGCCCTTTCGCACTAAGCCTCAGCCATTCTGGATTGCATGAAGCATAGAATGCAGAAGAAGAAAGTTCAACACTCTTCAGCAATAAAGAAAAACAAATGTCATGTTTATTTTAGGTCATTTTTGCTTATTAATATGGTTGAATTGGATCATCGAAGATCGGCAGCAAAGATTTTGGTTAATAAAATGGGATTAAATGCATAAAAGATATTTGTGTTAATACATTTAATTATTGCAGGTTTGCATTGCACTGTTTTCATTCATTTTGAGGAATACTGAATCTGTTTGTGTGCAGTGAGATGAGGAAATGCATGTTCACATTTAGTCTAGAACTACAGTAGCTCTGCACCTACTCACGATTTCTCTCAACATGGCAACACAAGTCAGTCAATAAATGGGAAAACAAAGTTACTGGCGTTACTTATTTGAAAAAGTAACTCCGATATTTTATTGTAAATTTAAAAGTAATGCGTTACTTTACTAGTTACTTCAAAAAAGTAATCTGATTACGTAACGCGTGTTACTTGTAATGCGTTACCCCCAACACTGCTCAATATATCGCCAGGTGTTCATTTTGTGTTGGCTGTATATGCTTTTTTGACTCTCAAAATAACGGTAGCCATTGACTTGCATTTTATGAATCATCAAGGACCACAGTTTCAACTAACAATCATCTTTACTGTTCTGCTAAAGAACACAAGTCACCTACATCTTGGATGGTCTTGAGGATGGGTAAATAAATTAACAGCAGTTTTTTTATTTTTGAGTGAACTATCTCAAACTAGTGGAACTGACTAGTCATTACAATCTCAACAAAACAAAACAACATGCTTTGTTATTTCCACAGACACAGGGGACGGATCTCCAGCCGCGGAGCCTGATGAACGTGGAGAAACCGAAGAGGAGGGCGAGGATAATGACGGCCAGACGCAGCAGGATGAAGAACGTGAGCAAATGAGAGAAGAGGAAGAGAGGAGCGAGACGAGACTGGATCACATGCAGGAAGACGACGGCGCCGACAGACTGCTCTCTGAACCCATGTGCTTCCAGACGAGCGACTGATCGACACGCTGCTTGTGCATTTTCCAAACTTGCATCACGTTGTTTACAAATCGCATCGGCTTTCATAGTCGTCTTTAAAAGCATAAATTATGTTTTCTATCATTTAAGGGTTCAGATCCCTGTTGCTGATCTTTAATATTTGATTTGTTTTATATTAAAACAGTATTGCAAGCTGATTTCTTATTTCTCACATTTGTTGAAATGAACTTAGACTGTAACCTAATCGATACAGTTTTAAATAAATATTGAGCTTAATTTATGCACATTTGCAGTACGGTTATTATGTATTGTTTTATTGCTTGTCCATAAATCATGCAATGAGATGTGGGACAAAAATTTTACAACGCAAAGTTGTTATTGTTAATCATTTTCTGTAAATGTAAAATAAAACAATATAAATATTAGATAAAAAAAAATACCTTAATTGTATTCTATATCAGTTAGTTGCCAAAGCAACATTTATAACTGTATATTTTTTGTGTTTATGTACTAAAATTACAAGAAATAAAACTAAAGCTAAAAGCTAAGACAATTAAAAAATCTATTAAAAAACCTTTAAAAATAATTTGGAAAATAAAACTATTAATAATAATAATAAACAATTATTAAAAATAATTTTCAGTAAAAATAAAATAAAAATAGATGCAAAACTTCACCTTACACATATTTTACTTCCGTTAGTTGCCAAAGCAACATTTCTAAAATGACTTAATTACAAAAATAACAAACTAAAACTGAAATGAAAAATCAAGCTAAAAAGAAATATCACACAATAAAATTGAAAAATTATTTTCAGTAAAAATAAAACAATATAAAATAAAATAAAAATATAAGAGGAAAAACTTTACCTTAAATGTATTGTTTTTCAGTTGACAAAGCAACATTACTAATTTTATATTTCTATGTTTAAGTATTCAATTTACTAAAACTGAAATAAAAATAAGCAAAAAAAAAAAAAAAAACGTTTTCTCTGCGTCACCCTAGCCTCATTTCGGAGAGTATCCACTGAAAACAAACAGCGTATGTTGTTCTGTGTCAGCTGCACCACATGGATACGTTTTCTACGTTGTTTGTGCTTTGATTTGAATGAAAACAACGTATCCGTGTGGCGCGGCTGACACAGAACAACATACGCTGTTTGCATTCAGTGGATACTCTCCAAAATGGCACAGAGAAGACGAATTGTTGAAAGACGTTTTTTTTTTTTTCTTTTGCGCACAAAAAGTATTCTCGTAGCTTCGTAATATTACTGTTGAACCCCTGGTGTCACATGAATTATTTTACCGATCTCCTTGCTACGTTTCTTGACGTTGATCGTGGTAGTACCCTTGCTGTCTATGGGAGGATCGGAGAGCTCTCAGATTCCATCAAAAATATCTTAATTTGTGTTCCGAAGATGAATGAAGGTCTTACGGGTTTGGAGTGCGAGTAATTAATGACAGAATTTTCATTTTTGGGTGAACTTACCCTTTAATGCCAATGCTCATTGTTTTGCATTGCAAAAAGCATGAAGGACTCAAAAAAAATTAATAAATAAATAAACAAACGCAATTTTCCCATAGAATTATTTATTCAACTGCTGAACATTTTTTCACATTTGACTATACATACAAATCAACGCTAGTAAATAAACTCTGAAACGACAGTGAAAGTGGCCGCTTCTACTTTAATACTAAAATCATCTGATTAATCTGAAGACAGAGGAGAGTATTCACACCATGTACAGGATTCAGTTCATATACAGAGTCAAAGTGGTTTGGTTTACATGGATCAGTCGGAAAAAACATGAGAGCCATATCACATTTAAACCATCATCCTGAGGATTTCACTGGTTAAATTCTCATTCAGACAGGGTAAATTGGATAAAAATAGCTGTTTAAATAAATATTTGATGTTGATTTATTTTTTTGAAAATCTAAAAGATCCTCCCTGACACCCTAAAACAGTCATCCATACGAGTCTTGATATTATTACCCATAATGCAATGCGCTGAATCACAGCTGTACGCTTTATAGCAGGGCTTTGAGCTCCTCCAGTAGTTTAGACAAGATTCACTTCAAATAATTCATGAAACATGAAATAAACTATGATCTGAACAGCCCAAGATCTTCCAGAATACTTCAAAAGCTGTTTAAAGCAGCCGCCCTATAGAACTAGAGCGGTGCCTGTGATAAATACTGCACTCTCACAAATTTAGGCCCAAATAAACTCACATTATCGCTTCAGAGATTCAAGGCCGGCGCCGCACCTGAAAACCACACAATTTCAGAGAAATCATTTAGTAATGTGAATCTGTGCTGGAGAACCAGAGCGTGAAATCAGACACACCGGAGAACAAGAGCAAGAATGTCCTGAAATCACGCAAACTTTTAGAGTCATTTGCATCATTTTTGAAATGTCCAAGCCATGTTTCACCTCAAAATTCATATATATATGTGTGTGTGTGTATACTGTATATATATATATATATTAAAATATTAAGTAAAATATTTTTTATATTGTTTTAATAATATATTTTGAAATGGTTTTTCAATGTTCTTATATATATATATATATATATGTACGTGTGTGTGTGTGTGTGTATATGTATATGCACTGCAACAGTATTTTCATGAAAATCAAACATTTTACTTTTTTTATTTTTATTTACATTAGCATAATGTGGAAAAATGCATTTCTGTAAAAAAATCGGTTGTTATTTCATTATTAAATGTATTAGTTTGGTTAAATGTTTATTATTTTTTGTTTAGATCAGCACAAGTTAAATTACAACACAATGTTTACTTACAATTGAAAGTATATATATACACGGTTTCTTTTTTTCACATTACAGTTACAAGAACATGTGGAAAAGACATTTTTTTCCACATTATAACAATGAGAATTTGTGAAAATGTGTTTAATTGTCATGAATATGTTTTAAAGTCACAATGCCAAATACCTTAATTGTCCTGTTAGTTTTGCAAAATACAATTTCTAAATGATTTTGGGATGAAACTGGCCATTTCTTGACAGTTTGAATGAACAATTTGATCAGTTGTGCAACAAGCCATCAGGTTCTCGCCTGAAGATCCTGCTGCTGTCGAGTGCTACACTTCAATAACTCAGTTTGTTTGGATGACAGTGAGGAAAAAAGGCACAAGGAGACCCGTCGAAGGGTTTGTGAACATAAAAACACATTCACAGAGCTCTGGTGAATCATTCCAATCGTTCTGGGACTCTTCAGACCATCTGCTCTTTCTTCTGGAGTCGTTCAGAACAGCACTCGCTGGATTGATCACATGTAGAAACATGTCACGTTTCTGACACACTTGCATAAAGCCTCCTTTAAAGCCTCCTTTTAATTAATACCAAGTGACAGGTGAGCGCAAAAACCCTCATTTTCCCATAATGCACCTGTGTGTCAGATCAACGGTCTGTCCTCTCAGGAAAACTAGTGTGCATGAGATCTGGATGTCCTCTTTGTGTGTGTGTGTGTGTGTGTGTGTGTGTGTGTGTGTGAGAGAGAGAGAGAGAGAGAGAGAGAATCTCACTCCTGTCCGAAACCTTCCGTCTCCTCAATAGCAAACATCAGCTTCTCCTTCAGCTGCTCGTAACTGCGGTACGGCGGCAGATCCAGACGATTAAAACTGGAGTACAAAAGAAAAACAAGAGAATTTACAGGTTTAATATCCACACTGTGTACTCAATGATTACTGTATATGCACTGCTGCTGCATTACAGATGAATATTATTGATTTTAAGATGATTATTATATGCAGTATACAACAAATACAAAAAATTACAGTATATGAAGCTCTAAGAGTGTCACATAAAAACAATAAATTATCATGAATTTCAAAATAAATATTTAAATAAATGTATTAAAAATATTAGATATTTAACAATTATTTATTATTTAGATTATTTAATTATTAAATCAACTTTTTTTTTAAATATAGTTAAATATGCAGTAAGAAGTCTGAATACATGGTGCAAATGTGTAAAAATTTACAGTATATGAAGCACTAGCTAGGAGTGTCACTTAAAAACAGTGAAGGAATCATTTATCAATGTATTAACTTCAAATTAAAAATATTAATAAATTTGTGTACGAGTAATTAAATATTTAATAATGCAATAAACAACAAATCATTAGACAAAAATTATTAAATTCTTTAAAAAAAGTAAAAAGTTAATATACAATAAACAATAAAATGCTATAAACAATCATAAATAATATTGTTATTTATATAAATATTTTAACAATAGTTTGAAATAGTATAATTACATTATTAATATATACTATATAAATATATTTTAACAATAATAATAACCACCACAAAAATAACAACAATTTCATCAAGCTCACATAAATGAGTTACATATAATACACACATTTGTGTATACTAATATATACCATTTAATATATATACTATAAACATATGCATGTAATATATGTACACACACCCACATACACTGTACAATATTTTATTTATGCTTACTATATTAAAAATGCTTTTGCCTTTTGATTAATCTATTTGCTAAATCATTAAAACATTTATTTAGACAGTTGAAAAGGTGCAACCATTAGACTAATATTTTAAAACATTCCTCCTCTGACACAAGTGCTCTGTACTTACACATCTTAAGCTTAAGTTTTGAGATCAAAATAATGTCTGTATGAAGTGAGATTATGTACCATGTGTGGCTGCGGGGAAGCCAGTTCTCCTTCCCAACCTTCTCGATGCAGAACTTCTGCGGTCCGTTACTCCCTGAACCAAACATATGACAAACGTCACACTCTCCCAACATGAGCCAGGACTCAAACTAAAAAATATTAAGCCAATAATATCAAAACACCTAACACAGGGGTGCCCAACCCTGCTCCTGGCCATCGACTGTCCTGCAAAGTTCAGCTCCAACATTAATCAAACACACCTGGAGCAACTAATTAGGGTCTTCAGGATCACTTAAAAATTAAAGGCAGGTGTCTTTGATTAGAGTTGGAGCTAAACTTTGCAGGACAGTCGATCGCCTGGAGCAGGGTTGGGCACCCCTGACCTAACAACTGTGATCTGATAAAATTCTGGTTGCTCTCTACATTATGTCCCAGTCATTATTCCACTTAGGGCAACTGGTCAATTTTGTGATTTTGAACTTTGCTTCCATAATATTCTTTTTTGAAAGATAACATCTAAAATACACATTTAAGTGTTTATTTTGTAACATTTTATCTGTTTGCGTCAGTAGATTTCAATTACAATCCATACCTTTAAAAGTTTTTTCTCCACTTCAGCAGCACTTACAAACACCAAACTTAGCAGTTTTATTTCTCTCTATATTCTGAAGGTTTTTACTGAGGGGTTTGTTCATATTTCATTCACACTGATTTAGATAATATTTTATTGTTTTGACTGAGGGGTTTGTTCATATTTCATTCACACTGATTTAGATAATATTTTATTCCTAAAACATGATGAAAATTTATTTTTTTCTGTCTGTTGACAGCATTTTCTGATTTGTGGAGAGACAAAAATAGATATACAAAATCCCTTCGGTAAAAACCTTTGACTCTAATATGTCAACAAAATGAAATAAAAATTTTGAACCTGGCTTTATCCAATGGCCAGATTCATTTTCTGGAAATGTCTAATTAGATAACGCCTTATTTACAGATTTAAACAAAACATTTTATAAAACTTGTAATACAAAGCAACTGTCCTAAAGTACTGTGATTAATCAACTGGAGAAAGTATGATGACGTGTATTAGTTAAATATTTTTACCCTACTCGCTTGTTGTGTCTTGCCTTAATGCTACAATACATCACACTGTGGAAGTTAAATGCATAGTGAATGCTGTTTCATGCTGTTTCATTGTTATGTAAATAAAACTGATCTGAATCCAAAATAAATAAAAACTCACCCATCAGGTCTGCAAAGCCTCCGACAGGCAGACGGCAGGTACCAGTGACAAACTGCAACAGTCTCATGCGCTTCTCATTGTCCATCTCTTTAATAAACTACAGAGAAAAGAGAGAGTGTCTTGGTGCAATCTGAATGATTATTCATTTAAAATTATTTTTGCGTCATTACCTGCCAGAACCACAGGATCTGTTTACTGGTGGAGGTGTAATGTCTGTAAATGCTGTTTCTCTGCCAGTCATTCAGATCTATTTCTTGCATTCCACACAACATCACCTATGACACACAAACACACGGTTAATTACAGAACAGATACAACAGTATTTAAATGAGATGTTTGATTTGATTCTGCAAGCTTTGGAATGTACAGTGCATTTGTTAAAGTATTTGCACATATATCCCAAATATATAATAATGCCACTGCATTTTGTTATGTTACGCAATGACATTGATATGCTGAAGTGTGACTCAAGTGCACATATATTTTTGAGGTAGCTCTGTGCATGGGATTTAAGAGATTTTAAATCAGCGTCTCTCACCTCCAGCTCTTTGGCATCGAAATACTGCAGGTACTGCTGCGGAAGAACCTCATTAAATCCTTCAAAGAAGGCTTGAGTCTGTTCCTCGACACCACGAGACAGACGCCACTCCGCCACCAGCCTGAACACACACACACACAACAGGACATTTACAACCAACACACACTCAACATCACCTGAGGAGGCATAAGCTCCGTTCCAATCTCTAGTGAGCTGCCTTGCTGTCTTTACAGGAAGCTACCATCTAAGAGATCATCAATGCAGAACCTGGTTTGAAATGCACTTTATGGGCAGCTAACATAACGCAACAGCTATCAGCTAAAAACAACAAGTATTTTGTTAACCTTTTTACATCCATTTAGGATATAATCTTTTTTCAACATTTTTGTAACAATGAAACAACATATATAATAAATAAAATGCAAGTTGAGCAACATTTTAAATAAAATTCAAATATAATATTAATTTATATTATAATAATAATTTATAAATAAAATGTTGCAAAAAGTTGCTTGCAATAAATACATTACATGCAAGTTAATGCAACATTTTTATGTGTGTGTGTGTGTATATATATATCTATCAAGCGGCAACCTTCCGCTCTCTCTCATGAAACCAACACGGAAGTGACTAAAACTGCAATTCATCGACTGGCCGGATCCGGGAGTGACGCATGGTGACGCCCTGCCAAGATGGCGACAGCCAGCTCCGCCCATTTTGAGCTTCAAAAACGCTCTTCAGAAACCTACGGGTGACGTCATGGACACTACGTCCATGTTTTTATAGTCTATGGTATATAACAATTTATAATTTAATATATAATACATATATAAATATATTAATATAATTTATATTAATTTAAAATATTAATATTTTTTAAATAATTATTTCTATAAATAATATAAATTCATATATCATAACTAAAAATGTACTATACTGTACTGTAGATTATTTATATTAATTATTAGATAAATCATTTTTAAATGTAATTAATATGTAAATGTAATTTCAATTTTTAAAATGTCGTTTTTAAATAAATGTATAATAGGTAAGTTAATGCAACTTTTAATATATATATAACTGGACTTTGACAAGTAAAATGAAGATAATCCTTTGTAACAACAACAGCATGACCAGTACTAAAGCATCTAGAGGGCTTTATGTGTGTCAGCGTGGGGTTTGGCTTTATTTAGCATCCAGAGTGTTTCATTATGAGACTTAGACAGGCAGAGCGGCACCTGATGTACTCCTCTTTGTTCTCCTCTGTGACCTGGATGTTCCCGCCGTCCGGCTTCAGCTCGTGAGTCGACACCTCACCCAGGATCTCCTTATCCACTGAGAAAAACATCTCCAGCCCGCACTCCTCGATGTTATTATCCCTGACACAACACACACAGTTAGATTTTGGGCAAAATCACCTTTTCTTTTAAAGACTAATTAAATTGAGCTTTTTTTTTACCACTATAATAAATAATTAACAAAATAATAATTTGCTATTTATTCGATTTTTATTTGGAGGCCTAAACACATAATACTTAATTCATCAATGCAACTTTACTCTGAAATTTAAAGTGGACGTTATATAAAGTGGACTTTATTTACATATTTAGTAGTAGTAGTAGTAGAAGTAGTATTAATAAGTTAGAATTTATGTTTATTTTTGGAAGAAAAAACATTTTATATAGTAAATAGATAAATACATCCATACATCCATACAAAATACATACATATTCATTCATTCATTCATTCCAATAGAATAAATTAAAAACACAATTATATGATATACATAAATCTATATATTTAAATGTTATTTTTATTTAATATATATTAAACATTATATATATAAAATATATAATTAATAAATTAAAATGCAGATTTTTTTTAAATTACGTATATGTTTCGTTTCATGTATGTTACGTTATATCATGAATATTATTAAATATTTTGTTGTTGTTTCTTTTTTATTTTTAAAAAAGTACCCAAAAAGTACCATGGTATTCTTTAAAGTACCTTAAAGTACCTTATGGTATATATTACAGTACCATGGTACCACATACACTTCTGTAAGACTTTAATGCATTATACTTATTCGTAATGAATATTCATGCATTCAGTAAAGCTGGTAAACTGACTTGATCCAGATGAGCGAGTTGTAAAACTCCGGGTCGATGGACTCCAGGTCTTTCAGAGCCAAGGGCTTGTTCAGGATGCGCTTGTAGAACGGGAGCGAGAAGCCCGTATCGATGAATTTCCCATGAAACAAGGCCTGCAGGAAGCACAAAGAATAAATGCTAAACAGGCATCATGGAGATTTTTGCCATTATAATGTTCCTGAACGTCCAAATCCAGTTAAGAAACAGAAGCAGTTGTTTAATATCGCACCACTTAAAATACAATCTGACACTGACCAAATATGGCAAGGCAGCATTACCATGGCGATGAAGCGTCCAATGAACCGGAAGTATTTGAGGTGGTCGGGGTTGATGTAGGAGGCGGGGTTTATCTGGAGGCAGTAGTTGTCTTTGCCAGCGTATTCAAACAGGCAGTACATGGGGTTCAACACCTCGTGAGACAACAGGAAGAACCATTCCCTGCACAAAACACACAACACGCTTTATTTTACAGTATCACACTGGACACAAGCAATGCAGTGTGATGCACCAAACCTAAATCACTCCTAAACAACTATAAACCACTGCATCAGAGCATGAGAGGCCTCAACAATCTGGGAAAGCTTTTTTCTTTAATTTGCGTATTTACATTTGGGTTTACTCTTTATAGGAACCAAATTAAACCTCTTTCAGTAACCATAAAGTGAACTTCAGTGTTAGTATCACTGAGACGCTATAAAAATGTGAAAAAAAATAAAAATAAATAAATAATACATATATATATATATATATATATTATATGTGTGTGTGTGTGTGTGTGTGTGTGTGTGAATTGTAATCTATGAATTATATATAATGTAATCTATAGATTAAGATTAAATTCAGAAAATAAATTAAGTTACCTAATAGAACATGTTATATATAATTATATAAAAATGTTATACATAATTATAAATTCAACACAAATTTCTGTAAGTTGCATTTTAAACATATATTATTAATACCATGAATTTCTGGAAATCCCCCATGTGATGTGTATAAAAAACATTCTTAATATTTAAACAAATATTTTTAAACTTTTTAAAATGTACTCAATGAATTGTATATTATATTATGAGTAACAGATTAAACTTTTATTTTGGATGTGATTAATCATTTGACAGCACTATTACATATATATGTATATATATATACACACACATATATACACATATACATATATAGTTTTTTATTAATTTTTAATTCAATTTTACTTTTAGTTATTTTTAAGTTAAACAAAACAACTAGCTGAAATAAAACACTTTCATGTTTTATTTTATATGCTCTTATTTTATGTTTTTTTTTTTTTTTTCAGTTAACATTTATTTTAAGTAATGATAAAGTTTGTATTTATGGTTTTAATTTTAGTTTCTGTTTTAGTTACCTATAATAACCCTGGAGAAGAGAGTAAAAAAAAATATATAGCTCCACTTGAGTTTTCATGGGGCACATTCTGACCAATTCTATGAATAATATGACTACAAAATTATGATTACAATAATAATTGTGATTTTACTGTGATTATTATTAAATAAGATATTAAACAAAATAAGAAATACATTGTAATATTGTAACTGTAGTAATAATTAAGTATTCAATAAGCAACATTATCTTATAGTACAACTGTAAAATTACAATACTAATGTTACAATACTTACATTTTTTTTTTTTTTTTTGGAATTTGAACAAATGTGCTTTTATTTTGACAGATTGCCAGCAATTAAAGTATCTGCTGATGGTTTCAGAGTGCATATATTTAATTAAATTGCAATCTGCACAATTTGACAATCGCACTAATCCATATTTTGATATATCGTGCAGCCCTGCTCTAGAATGCTTTGATCTGGTCTTTATTCTCCAGAAAGAGAGAAATATGAAACTTGCCTGGCCACGCCTCCATAGTCAAGCCCCTCCTCCCCGGGGAAGATGATCCACAGCCTGCGCCGGAGATCCTGAGAGCTGAAGCTCATGATCTGCAGGGAGACACCAGAAAAACATCATTTCACATCTCAGAGACTCCAAACCGTGCAGATGTCTGACGTGTTTAAAGACATTTACAGGCTCCACGCTATGTCTCTGATCTGGTTTTTAAATGCTGGAGCTACTAGCAGAAAAACACCACAGTATTACAGCAGTCATGGGTTATTTTAAAGTTAGACTGCGTTACCTGCTGGAACGAGTCTTCAAACAGTGTTTTGCGGCTGACGGTGATCTTTATGTGCTGTGGCATTGCTAATTGCTGTAATGAAAAATTCAAACAATCAATTTAATTTTTAAAAATAAACATTTTAAATATAACTGAAGTAGTTATAATATCCATTTGGGGTCCTTTTTGAAAACTTTACCCTTAGGTCATCCAAGATATACATGAGTGAGTTTGTCTCTGTCTTCATCAGATTTGGAGAAAAGTAGCATTGCATCACTTGCTCACCAATGGATCCTCTGCAGTGAATGGGTGCCGTCAGAATGAGAGTCCAAACATCTGATAAAAACATCACAGCTGTTTGGACTCTCATTCTGACAGCACCCATTCATGGTGAGCAAGTGATCGCTACATTTCTCCACATATGATGAAGAAACAAACTCATCTACATCTTGGATGGCCTGAAGGTGAATACATTTTTCAACAAGCTTTCTTTTTTGGGTGAACTATTCCTTTAATATTGTTCTGACCAACTTCTGATATTTGTTCATTAAAACTTCAGAATTTCTCCATCCATAAAAACACAACTGAAAGAAAATCCTCACCTGACACCAGAATCTGAAGTATTGAACTTTGGCTTTGAAGTCTCGTACGTATGTGATTTGAGGGCCATTCTCACTGAAGGGAAGGAAAGAGTGAAATTGTTTATGATGCAAACACAATATACAGTAAAACTGCTTCATACTTTATTTAGGACTCAATCTAAAGCACCACAGCAAAATATCTTAATTTAATGTTAAATATGAAAATCACTAAAATTGCTGTGCATGCTAATCCTTACTGGTTACTTCTTAAATGCCCTCAAACTGTACACAGAACAGTTGAAACTCATTCACGTGGTGAAAACATCCTAATAAAAGTCTTATCTAGATGCCCTGAGCATTTACTCTGACGCTCGTGACGGGTAACACTGAGTGCAGATGATTGTTTGTTGGGAATATTTTGACATCAGCAGCACGTCTCACATTCCTCTGACGTAGAGGATCGCTTTGTGCCTTCAAAACACTTGATGTGGATTAATACACACATTCTGAAAGAGGTGTATTTGCATTCTCTGAGCCGAGTCATCACGGAAGATTATAATCGAATACAGTTTCACTCCAGAGGCACACAAACCCGTTTTTCCTGTTTTGCATGTAATGACTGATGAACACGTACTGTCTCTCGCCTGAAAGAGATCACTGTGCATCTGTAAGCTAAACCAAATGAAGCAAAACAAGAAATTCCTCGGACCAGTCTCAAGGTCATAAATGACATTTATAATGTGATTTATACATAATGATTGCAAAAGCATTAGATCGGTAAAAAGAAAAGAAAGCTGCACTGCTGCTGACATCATAATGCAACATTAAAGGGTTAGTTCACCCAAAAATGAAAATTAGGCTGCGTTTTACTCACCCCCGAGGCATCCTAGGTGTATATGACTTTTTTCTTTCAGACGAATCCAGTCGGAGTTATATAAAAAATTGTCTTTGATCTTTCAAGCTGTTTAATGCCACTCAGCGGGTGTTGCATTGCTTCAGTCCAAAAGAACTTAAATAAAAATCACCCATCCATAAAAAAAGTGTCTCACACGGCTCCGGGGGGTGAACAAAGGCCTTCTGTAGTGAATCGATGCGTTTTGGTAAGAAAAATATCCATATTCAAAACGTAATAATCACTTTAATCTAGCTTGCGCTCACTGTTGTAAACGGAAGCAGCTCCGGGCGGATGACGTATGAGGTCAGCTTTGCGCATGCGCCGCTCAGAAGTGACACAGAAACGCAGCGGAGAGATCAAAACAAAACAACGGTCACTAATTAGAAGTACAAAACGAGGATTTGTAAAGAAGTATTGCTTCCTTTGCTTCTGTTAACAAACGTTGGTTTTCACGAGACTCACCGGCGCATGCGCAACGCCAAATTCTTATGTCATCCGCCCGGAGCTGCTTCCGTGTACAACTGTTGGCACAAGCTAGATTAAAGTGATTATTACGTTTTGTAACAAAAAAGCATCGATTCGCTACAGAAGGCCTTTGTTCACCCCCCGGAGCCGTGTGAGACTTTTTTTTTTATGGATGGGCGATTTTTATTTAACTTCTTTTGGACTGAAGCAGCGCAACACCCGCTGACTGCAATGATAGAGCTTGAAAGATCAAAGACAATTTTTAATATAACTCCGACTGGATTCGTCTGAAAGAAGAAAGTCATATACACCTAGGATGCCTCGGGGGTGAGTAAAACGCAGCCTAATTTTCATTTTTGGGTGAACTAACCCTTTAAAGCTGCACTCCTGCTAACAACAAAATGTGACAGTTAACTGCTGCTGACATCTTAATGTGACAGTGATCTGCTACTCACAATATATTGCAACCATAAACACTACTCTACTGCTGAGATAGTAACGTGCTAGTGAACTGCTGCCGATATTATAATACGACAGTGTACTGCTGCTGACATCATATTCCTACCATGAACACTGCATTGCAGCTAACATCATAACGCAACTGTGAATGCTACAGTGCTGCGAACATCATATTACGACCATGAACTGCTGCTAAAATCATAATGCGAGAGTGAACTGCTCCTGACATCATAATGCAGTGCTGGAAAACCTGACAGGGAAACCTGGCAGAACTGCATTATCTAGGCAGTCTTCTCTAAGTGTGTGCGGGGTTGTTTGCACTTACAGAGAGGATTTTCCAGTCCGTGGGTCGATGTAAGTGGTGGTTCTATGGGTGTGATCTACGAAGTAAGGGATGCCATCGACCGTAAACCTCATCTCCCAACCTTCCGGCAGTGGTTTCTCATTCAGCAAACTGCACAACACAGAAACAGAGCCATGAGCACACTTTAATAGGCATCAGTTTATGAAAAATGACTCAATGAGCTGGGCGATAATTACTTATTTAACACTATACTTTATTGCGCCTCACTATTAAATAAGAAAAAAATGAATTTAAACGAAAAGATTTTGAATTTAAACAAATATTTAAATTTTTAAACAAAATAAAATCTAATTCTGAATTTTTTTATGGACATATTTACACTGCAGATGGAAATTACAACGTCCATAGACCAACAAGAAAAACTTCTCTGAAACTGGTCTTCCTTAATCACGGCTGAAAGTGGAGTGCATTGAAGGCCATTAATGTAAAAGTGCTTTATTGTTTCTCTCTGTAGATTGGCATTTTAGAGGAAAAAGACAGAGGATCTGACCCTTGTGTGCGCGGATCCTCCCACTGCGTCGTTCTGGTCGAGTGATGAACAAAGTAAACTCTGCCATTACTGTCCGTTCTCTTCTCTGAGAGCAAGACAGGAGGAGACACCAGGAGGAAAGTAAGAAGTAATGGAGCCAAGATGTGATTAAGCCTTTGCAAACTTTAACTCAGAGCCATTTTCAACATTTGAGCTATTTTCACCAGCTGGTTTACATGGTGCAAGCGCTTCTCATTTGTTAAATTGGGACACTGAAGGATGTACCGGCTATATTTAGTGCTGCTTCGCAGGTGCAGATAATAAGGTTACCAGAACAATAAAAAGTAGCTGCTAGTCCAGCATATTACAGAAGAGGGTACGGTTTTACAGGAGTTTTTCCATGCAATGAAAGGAAGGTTTGTCTCTCTCTCACCCCATCCGTGTGGCAGAGGTCCCAGCGGGTCAAACTCCTTATTCTGGGTGGCTGAAGCCTGATCCTGCAGCATCAGGAGAACATTATAGCTAACTGTGTGTATATGTTAAAATATGAAGATAAATGCATGTGTTTAATTTCCTCACCCCAACGATGAATCTTTGGTTGAACTGCTGCATGGCTCCCTGCAGCTGACTGCGCTGGTGCTGCCACTGCTCGTAGTTTCGCACCGTCTCCATCGTGGGCCGCTGCCACGTGGTGGTTCTGCTAATGTGGTCCACAAAATACACCCGGCCCATCGGGTCCACACGCCGCTCCCAGCTACAAGAGAGAAGTCCATTTGAGGCCAAAAATATTTATGCATTTACATTTTCATCAACATTTCAAACAATATTGAATAGTATATATAACACCTCCTAAGAAATGTGTTGTTTAAAAAAACAACAACAAAAAAAAGGTAACAGCAACTTTTTCTGACAATCTTCCTGAGAATTCTGAGAATCTTTTCAACTGCTAGATATAAACTCAGAATTGTGAGACAAACTCGCAATTGCAAGAAAAAAAAAATCAGAATTGTGAGGAAAAAGTCTAAATTGCGAGAGAAAACAAATCAGAATTGCGAGATCTAAACACATTTCTGAGAAGTCCAAATTGTGAGATTGTAAGAAACTTGCAATTGCAAAAAAATAAAATAAAATAAAAAATACAAGATTTAAATTCAGAATTGCGAGAAAAAAAAATAGCGCAATATAAATGTGCAATTGCGGGAAAAACGTTAAAATTGCGAGAAACAGTCAGAATTGTTAGATCTAAACTCACATCTCTGAGAAGTCCAAATTGTGAGATCGTGAGAAACTTGCAATTGCAAAAAAAAAACAAAAAAAAAAATACAAGATTTAAATTCAGAATTGCGAGAAAAAAGTCAGAATTGCGCAATATACATTTGCAATTGTGAGAAAAACGTTAAAATTGCGAGAGCCGGAACAGATCTAAACTCACATTTCTGAGAAGTCCAAATTGTGAGATTGCAATTGCAAAAAAAGCGCGAAAAAATGTCAGAATTGTGAAAAACAAAGTCAGAATTGTGAGGGGGGAAAAAATTTGAATTGCAAGATCTAAACTCACATTTCTGAGAATTAATGTTCAAATTGTAAAATACTGACTTGCATATGCTTGACAAAGTCACAATATCTATCAACAATAAAAGGTTACAATTGTGAGGTAAACCGTTGCAACTACCTGTTTTATCTTTTATTCCAATGCAGAAATAAGCTTCCATTGAAAAACCAGCCTAAGTACAGGCTGATTAGTAGAAATGTTATTCAGGTAGCCCACCAACTAGTCAGTCTTGAAATTGTTTGTCAGTATTTCAGTACTAGTACACATCCCTATTCACAGTGCAGAAAAGGTGGTCCTAAAACAAATAAGCTGCATGTTCTTAAACAAAATATCACTTCCTTTGTGGTGAAATATGACCTGGACATGTTCTTGGTTTTGTAAAATTCACTTAGGCCATTTGGCAGTTGTTTTCTATACTATATATTTCAGAAAAGTTAGAGTATGCGAAATAGCAACTCTCTAATAAATGAGATCTTGTGTTAAAACATAAAACCTTCATCACTGTCCAGATCCTGAACTATTAACCTGAAATATCCAAACTCCACCATACTGCACTGCACTGACTCTGTGTTACAGTTTAAATATATTATGCATAGTACATTCTTCTAAGGGTCTGTCCAGTAATTCAATGGCAGAGGAGGGTTTCTTACCCCGTCGGCAGAGAATCCGGTCTCTCCCACGCCGTTCTCTTTTCCACATGGTCAACATAATACACACGGCCGTTCTGATCAACCCGCTGCTCCCAACTACACACACACACACACACACACACACACACACACTACAGTTAGTGAGTGAACCATATGGGCACTGATATCAAGATATGGCTGATATATAATTCAGTTAGTCACAATGTGTACGTTTTTGCTGCATTTTCAAAACAATAACAAAGGCAAAGCTTGATGATGCTATGAAGGAGGATGTTCATGGATAAGGTAATGAATAAATTTTTTTTATTACCTGTACCTGTACCTTCCACAGTTATTCAAACAGCGAATAAATTATACAGAGAAAGAGAGCTAAGAACATTTACATTGTCAAGAACATTTTGACTGAGTTCGGTCTAGCGCGAGTTTAAAGGGTTAGTTCATCCAAAAATAAAGGATGCCTCGGGGGTGAGTAAAACGCAGCCCAATTTTCATTTTTGGGTGAACTATCCCTTTAAGCACTCTCAAAAAACTCCCCTTATAATCAGTAAAGCTGTCTGTACACGGTTTTATGAATGAATCTCTTTCATCATACGTACATCTGCACTTTGTTGTTTATGATTATAGAATTCGTGAGAGCTGAATTCAGTCAGCGAGTGCATGCAGTGAACAAAAACTCATCTGAACGCCTCTGACTGGCCATTGCATTCATAAGCTCAACAGACTCGTGTGTGATTGGTTATAATGCGCAACACTGTAAAACGCGTTAAAAAATCATGGCGCAACATTGAGAAGTTCTAAATTGAATGCTGCGGTCAACACTTTTAATTTCATTTTATTCACGACAGCCATAATGGATTTAGTTTAACAGTACAGCAGAATCTGTGTCCGTGTGTTGCCACAGCTTCTACAAGTGGAAACTGAGGATATGTGGATATTACGTCATTGATAGGCGACAATGACCAGGGACGAGCCATTATTTAAAATTGGTATTTACAAATCCTACAACATAAGTACACAACTGCATGAAATATATCACGCTATGCAAGTAGTTTTTGGATATTTTATTACGAAAATCTTACATACTGTGTCTTTAAATGATTGAAAATTTTCAAAAACAAAGCATGCATTTTCTGTTGACAAGCAATTTGTAAATTGGGGAAGTGATGTAAGGAGGAACCGGCGCTTCTGTTTACTGACGTACCCAGATGGCAGCGGACAAGGGTTGACCATGCTGGGAATCCTGCTGGGGGCGGGGACTACGCTGAGGGACGTCCTACCAGGCTGCTCCACTGTGGGGGCGGGACTAGACTCCGGGGCTCCGCCTCCAGTGGGATTCCGAACTGGAGTGTCTGAACGGGACGAATCGCTGCCATCAGGAAATGAGCCGGTGGAGGAAGCTGCAAAGAGGGGGAAAATTCACCACCATTTCCTCTAATTTTTTTTCAACAACCAATACAAATGCAGAGCAGGACAAATACATGCATACTTTAATAAAAAAAACAAAAACATTTTTTATTCTATTTACATCAATTTCTATTTCAAATAAATGCTGTTCTTTTGAACTTTCTATTTATCTGTGAATCCTGAAAAATAAAATGTATCACGGTTTCCACAAAAAAAAAAAAATTAGGCAGCACAGCTTTTTTCAACATTGATAATAATAAAAAATGTTTCTTGAGCAGCAAATCAGCATATTATACGGATTTCTGAAGGATCCTGTGACACTGAAGACTGGAGTAATGATGTTGAAAATTCAGCTTTACATCACAGAAATAAATTAAATTTTTAACAGATATTCACATAGAAAACAGCTTTTTTAAATTGCAAAAATATTTCATAATTTTACCGTTTTTACTGTATTTTGTATCAAATAAATGCAGCCTTGGTGAGACTTCTTTCAGAAACAGTAGTGAGTATACATGATGTACAGTAATACAAAATTAAATGAACATTTATTTTACATTATATTTACCAATAATTATTGCTTCTGTTAATAGGTCATAAAAGATTCATTATCAGCTGATGCTGGCCAAAAATAAATAAGCCTGGATAATATTTTGTCTTTTTTTGACTTCCTTTATGACTTGATCCAACATGTTTCAATATGAAAAAGTAGAGCATTAAACAGCTAAATGCTATAACCGAATGCGTCTCACCTGGGGAGGACGTGGGTCTGCGTGGGGTCGGTGGCGGAGGTCGCGAGGGTCGCGGAGGTCTCTGGGGTCGCGACCCTCTGGATGACGCTGAAGGAGAGTCCATGCCGTTCACACGGCCGTTAGGAGCCGCCGGCTGCTCCTGGCCATCTGTGACCGATGGAGACGGGTCTCTGCTTCTCCAGAGAAAGAGACAGGACATCAGGCAGAGATGTTTCATTCAAAACCATGTACGCAAACTGATTCGAGACATGTGACATTCCTCAACCAATCACAGCCTCCCTTCATTTTTGGTAAACTCAAACGAATGTTGGCACAAGCTGTGCTTCCATCCAAAGATGCGAATTTAACTTATGCACAAAACTGGAATATCGCATAAAACTTGCGAATAAAGCACCGTTTCCATCCAACGAGTCAAAGAGAACAAAATCGTCACTTCCTGATGAACTGGCCCTAAATATCTCTAAGAAAACTATATAATAAATGACTTGCACCTCAGAGAGAGCAGACGTAACACAGTAAATGCAGTCATTGCTTTCAGAGAAAATTATACAAAAATACTTCGATGACAGACTTTCCTCAGGCATTTCAGAGTGACCAAAACAACAACAAACAACAAACAATATAGATGCAGTGAACGAGATCAATTCGCTGGTTAGTCAAGTTAGCGCAAAGTCACATGACTTTTTCAATGCGCATGGTGGAATTTATTCGGTAAATGTGTTTCCATCATAGTCTATGCGCATTTTTTCTTATCGGATAAAAAGTTTATCCTACTCAATTGTGCGCATATGTTTTTTCAAGTGCATTTTTAGAATTTATGCGCATCTTGGCGTTTCCATTCAGCGTTTTTTTAATGCAATATTCCAAAATGCGCATAAAAATAGGTGGATGGAAACATAGCTACAGTAAAAGAAACTTTCATTTACACTTTCACTTTGATAGTTATTTAATAACTAATATGAAGATACCTTCTGCTTGAGTCGTCATTTAGCTCAGATTCCCCATTTAAAGTATCTGGAAAACAATATCATTAGTTATTGGTGCTCTTTTTAGTGTAATAAATACAGTGGGTACGGAAAGTATTCAGACCCCCTTAAATTTTTCACTCTTTGTTATATTGCAGCCATTTGCTAAAATCTTTCCGTACCCACTGTAAGTAGCACTGTTATTGAGGTGACTGGAGTGACTGACTCGGGTTGTTGGCCTCGGCCGACTGGAACATTTCAGGATCCACCTGCAGACCGTCCAAACACACGGACAGATCGCCGATGTTATCAGACTGATCTCTGTCTGCGCACAGCTGCAGCGTCTGCACCACCTCACAGACTGAAAGAGACACAACCAAAGAGACACGCTGATGAAGACAAGTTCCAAACTACAACAATCAGTGTTAAAATGGCACTCAACTGCTGAAAACAGAGTAAATGCAGAAAAATCAATTACATTTTTTTTTTATTTTATTAACAAATTCTATTTATATTTTTTTATTTTTTTTATAATTTATTTTTAATTTCTTTAACATAATAATAAATTCATTAATATAACAATGTATATTCTACAATTATATACATTTATATTGTATAAACTAAACTGATATTTTTTTAAATAATATATATCATCAATTATACATAAATTTATAAATATAATTTTTTCCATTTTTAAAGTTACGTTTATATTTAAAACCTTATCTAACATCATAACTCCTGTTGCAGCTGGTAAACATGTTACGTGAAAACAGTAAATGCAGAAAATTAAATAAAACACTACTTATATTTTTAAATAATTACATTTATATTTTTACATTTAACTTCAACCGAATGATTTATTCAAAAATTATTTGTATTTTTAATAACTTAATTAAAATGTTTACATATATTCTTAGATTTATATTACATAAATTATATATATTTATATATATAATTTAATCACTTATATTATACAATTATATAAATTAAAAAATATATATTTTTTATTATAACTATTTAAATTCACATTTAAAACATAAACACACATATATTCTTAGATTTATATTACATAAATTACGTATAATTTAATCACTTATATTATGCTATTATATAAATTAGAAACATTTTAAATCTTTTTATTGTAACATTTTAAAGTTCATATTTAAAACATAAACATGTACACGTTTAAAGTGCACAATCACTTTCTAATCTAGTCAGTCCAATACTATAATTCCTGTCAGAGCTAGTAAACGATGATATATCCAAGCAGCATTTAGACAACAGAAATGATGACTCAGAGAGACAAAGCATTCATATAGATGCCGTCATTTTTGCTTAAATAAATAAAACAGAGGGGCTCCAGTGATCAACACTATGCAACAAACCCTGCTAATAGATCCAGGCTTGTGCTGCGCTCTTTAATGTGGTTCCTGTGGTTAAAGTGGCAGAGCACAAACACTCACTCTTCATGTCATGTGACTTGAGCGTCTCGCTGATGTCGAGGGTGGCCACACCCAGCAGAACGTCCGACTTCAGCGTCTGGTGACTCCAAACACGGAAGATCAGCTTGCTGAACGGAGTCACGATCCTAACACACAAACACAAACACACACACACTCACTCAACCGCTAGACTTGGCAAACAATAGAGTATATAATACAGTCCACAGTCAGTTCTGACGTCACTAACAATCACTTCACTTCGAGAAGATGAAAGCGGTTTAATAGAGAATTGAGCCGCATGACAATGTGCATCTGAAGTTAACTGAGGAACTGGTAGAGCCTGTGCAAAATCAAAAACACAGGGCTGAGGTCACACCAAACTCACACAGTGAGCGGCTGCTTCCATTTGGGCGAGTGCGTGTTGTTGCATTTCTCCGTCTTTTTGGACTGGCCGTCCACAGACACCTCCACGTACGGACTCGGGCCGAACCAGTTCTTCTTGTTGTCCTTGAGTTTGGCCGAGATCACTGCAAATCCAGAGAACAAACGGTCAAAACAACACGGCACGTCCATGATGGGTTTTGATGGGATTTTGCAAATGTTTGCAAACATGTTTCACTAAACATCAAAGGGGTCATATGATGCGATTTCAAGTTTTCCTTTCTCTTTGGAGTGTTACAAGCTACACCAAATACACAAAATAATGTTCTTTAAAAAAGCATCATATGAACCCTTTAATGAAGAAAAGCAGGTATTGTGAGGAGAAAATACAGGTGAAGAGGCTAAAATGTTTTCTTCAAAATACACTGTATTGAAACTAGATTTTTTTTTTTTATATATATAATGTGCATAAAAATGCACTTTTTAAACACAAATGTGACCCTGGACCACAAAACCAGTCATAAGGGTCAATTTTTCGAAATTGAGATGTATACATCATCTGAAAGCTGAATAAATGATAAATGTATGGTTTGTTAGGATAGGACAATATTCGGCCGAGATACAACTATTTGAAAATCTGGAATCTGAGGGTGCAAAAAAATCTAAATATTGAGAAAATCATCTTTAAAGTTGTCCAAATGAAGTAAAATGAAAAATAAAAATGAAAGTTAATTCAAAATATTAATAAAAGCTATAATAGTATTTAAATAAAATTAAATAAAAAATAAATGAAATAACACTGGTTTGTACCTATTATGAAACATGAGATATTATGTTTATTGAGAAAATCATCTTTAAAGTTGTCCAAATGAAGTAAAATTAAAAATAAAAATGAAAGTTAATTCAAAATATTAATAAAAGCTATAACAGTATTTAAATAAAATTAAATAAAAAATAAATGAAATAACACTGGTTTGTACCTATTATGAAACATGAGATATTATGTTCACTAGAGCAAACTGTCATCATTTGTTAATGCTATCTGAAACAATTAAGATTAAATAAAATCTTAAAAATAAAATGTTTGTATTTGTATTCACTTTAGGTTTTTTTTTTTTGTTCAAAGTTACAAAATCCTACTAAACAAAATTAATGTTGTTCAGTAGTTTAGTAGGGTTTATGCCATTCAGCACAAGCAGAGAAAGAAACTTTTAATATATCAGAGAACTATTAGGAAGTTTACAAACTTTCTTTATTAAACAGAAAAAAGTAACCTTTTAATTAGAGCCCGACCGATATGGTTTTTTTGGGGCCGATACCGATATTAGGGAGTAAAAAAGTATATTCTTTGTGTATATTATAGTACAGTACCAGTCAAAAGTTGGGACACTTGCCCATTCGTGTGTCCAAACATTTGACTGGTACTATATATAGAATACAGTATATACATAAACAGAATATATATATATAAACACATTTTTTAAAATGATCACTCAAATGTGGTGATTAAACACTTATAATGACGTGACCGAGATACGTAATGGAGGCAGGGCATTTAACAATTTAACAATAAACTTTATTATCCAAAATGAGTCTGACATCAGTGCACTTCAACAGTAAAGTTGAAGTTTATTCACCTTTAATTCAATTCAATTCCATTCAACTTTGTTCCGTTGAAGTTTATTTCACTTCAGAACATTCATTCACGGATTTGCGCTACTGTCTTCACACAC